AGGGTCAGCACTTTGGGAACAGTGAGTTTTTTTTTTTTTTTTTTGGTACCAGAGACTGAACTTGGGACCTTGTACTTGTGAGGCAGGCGGTGGCACCATTGAGTTAAATCCCTGGCTCAGCAGACATTTTGTACAACAGGTCCCATAGTCTGTGTGCCTGGCTTTGTTGGTAAAGGGGCTTCTGCTAAGATACTCTGACTTTGCCCTTCATGGGCAAAAGCAACTGTCGGTGAAGAGACAGTGCACTGACGGCGGTGTGCCAATAAAACTTTACTGACAAAAAGTATTGACGCACATGAGCCGAGGACCTGTCACTAGTGCCCAGGTGAGGCCTATGGGCACAGCCCAGCTCATTGCTGCTCCACCTGCAGACACACTGGTGGCCGTCCTGGAGCGGGACACCCTGGGCATCCGGGAGGTGCGGCTGTTCAATGCGGTCGTGCGCTGGTCTGAAGCGGAGTGTCAGCGGCAGCAGCTGCAGGTGACACCAGAGAACAAGCGGAAGGTGCTGGGCAAGGCCCTGGGGCTCATCCGCTTCCCGCTGATGACCATCGAGGAGTTTGCTGCAGGTAATGGTGTGACCGCTCCCCTGGCAGGGCCCTAGAGGCTTAGTGACAGTCCCTGAGTTCATCCTGGCAGTTGAGGAAAGGCATAAGATCAGAGGGAAGCCACATGTGGTGGCTCATGCTTATCATGCCAGCACACTGCGAGGCCGAGGCAGGAGAATCACAGGTTTGGTCCCAGCCTGCACAGCTTAGCAGCTTAACCAGACCCTGTCTCAAGATTAAAAAATTTAAAAGGCTGGGTTGTACCTTGGTGCAAAGGCCCTGAAAAAACCAAAATTTGAGGAAGGAGTGATTTTTTTTTTTTTTTTTTTGAGACCGGACCTCCCTATGTAGTTCATTCTGGCCTCAAACTCCTGGTGATCCTCCTGCCTTAGTCTCCTGAGTGCTAGTAGGATGTCAGATGTATGCCATCATGCCCAACAGGGGAAGGAGTGACTTTTTCTGGTACTGGGGATCAAACTCGGGTCCTTGTGCTTGCAAGGTAGGCGGCAGAACCACTGAGCTAAATCCGTGGCCCAGAAGTGATTCTTTTAAAGTGTGAGGAAAGTGCCTTCCAGGCTGTGCCAGCTGAACACGATGGGCTTTTTCTGTCACGACCTTTCTAGAGGCGGCTACTCCACACCCTGTGGCCCCTCAGCCAGTCTATATCCTGGGTGTGGCCACGCTCCCACCCCCGTTGTATCTCTGCCCCTGGTTTCAGCCTCTGCACTCTCCTGCTGGCCTGGCTGGGTGGCCAGTCAGGGCTTGCTCTCCAGGGCCACTTCTAGCAGCCAGGGTGGTAAGCTAGGGCATGCTGGCCTGGGAGGCAGGTGGGAGCAACACCTCTGGCCATGACCTGGGGTGTGGACAGGCGGGGCACAGCCTCCAGCTGTCATGAACTGAGGAGATGGTCCTGGAGTTGGAGATTTTTTTTAAAGACAGGGTTGTGTAGTTGAGGCTGGCCTTGAACTTACTATGTAGGTTGCCTTTGAACTCAGTGATCCACCTGCCTCAGCCTACCAAGTGCTGGGATCACACCAGGCCTTTGGAGTGGGTACCTTAACTGGAGCCAACACGGCTAGGAAGTTGGGTCTGCTCTTGAGTTTTCATTAGTGAGCAAGCAAATCTGTTGCCCTCCGATGCTGATACCCTGCCCCAAAATGCCAGGGCAGAAGCCCCTCGTCCCGATGGTGGAGGACCCCGGGGATGGAGGCTCCCGGATCCCCAGGTCTCAGGGGTTGAGTGGGAGTATCCTGCTGAGCGTTCCCGCCCACTGCAGGCCCCGCGCAGTCCGGCATCCTGGTGGACCGGGAGGTGGTCAGCCTCTTCCTGCACTTCACCGTCAACCCCAAGCCCCGAGTGGAGTTCATCGACCGCCCGCGCTGTTGCCTGCGCGGCAAGGAGTGCAGCATTAACCGCTTCCAGCAGGTGGAGAGCCGCTGGGGCTACAGCGGGACCAGTGACCGCATCAGGTGCGCGCCCCCGGGTTGCTGCCCAGGGACTTTTCTGATCTGTTTGGCCGATGTCCGGCTCTTCCCTCGCCCGGGTGCAGCCCTGATGTTGACTGGGTGGCCTGTTGCCTTCCGCAGGTTCTCCGTCAACAAGCGCATATTCGTGGTGGGCTTCGGGCTCTACGGATCCATCCATGGGCCCACAGACTACCAAGTGAACATTCAGGTGAGCGCCAGCCGCACCCACAAAGGCCATGCCCGTGGACCCAGGAAGCCAATGTAGGCGTGCTCCACGCTAGGTCAACAGCTCCCCCTCACCCTGCTCCAGGCCAGTCCTCCCCAGGGCAGCACAGCGGGCCTCACCCACGCTAGGCCCTCCCCGTGCCACATTCACCTCAGCTTCTAGGCCATACCCACCTCAGGCTCTGCCTCCACCTCAAACCCAAGCCCTGGCTGCACCAGGCCCTGCTTCCTGCCATGCCAGACCCACATTTAGTCTCCAGCCGTTAGACTGTGCCTGCATCCGGGTCCCACCTCCTCTTCGCGCCCAGGACACACCCAGCTCATGCGGGACAGTGGACGGACACCCCAGGCTCCGCCTCCACCGCAGGACCCGTCCTGGGCGCAACCTTCCCAGGCCTTGACACCCCTCCTGTCCCCAGATCATCCACACGGACAGCAACACTGTCCTGGGCCAGAACGACACAGGATTCAGCTGCGACGGCTCAGCCAGCACCTTCCGGGTCATGTTCAAGGAGCCGGTGGAGGTGCTGCCCAACGTGAACTACACGGCCTGCGCCACTCTCAAGGTCTTTGCGACGGGCGTCTGCCCCTCCCCGGCTTTCCCAGGGTATCCTTTAGGGACTGGGGGGGGTCTTACCGATCTTACTGTCCCCACCTCCCACAGGGCCCCGACTCCCACTATGGCACCAAAGGCCTACGCAAGGTGACACACGAGTCACCCACGACGGGGGCCAAGACCTGCTTCACGTTCTGCTACGCAGCGGGAAACAACAATGGCACCTCGGTGGAGGACGGGCAGATCCCAGAGGTCATCTTCTACACCTAGGCCCAACAGCCGCAGGGCATTGTCCACACATCCACTCCCTGCCCCGAGCATCCAGAAGGGGCGTCCCTCTGTCCATGGTGACAGCGTGGCTGGTGTCCAGAGCCCCGGGTGGTTATGAGACAATCCCTCAAACACCATGGGCCAGACAGGGCAGTGCCTCCACCCTGGGGCCAACCTGGGCCAAGGGTGGCAGGCCTATGGGGGTGGCTGTCCCCACTGTCCCTGCAGCTCAGGGCTGGTGGCCGCTCACCTAGGCAGGTGGAGCAGTATGGTCTCCTGTCTGTCAAGCGCACACGCGATGATGCCTCAGACCCCCTTAGAAGCCCAGGTGAGGGGTCCCATAGGCACTGACTGGGGTCTTTCATTCTTGCCTGCTCACTGGGGACACCGGGGCCTGGCCAGCCATGTACCTGAAGCCACCCTGGCCTGCGGGGCGTCCCCCCTGCTCCAAGACACTGGAGATACAGGAGTGGGACTCTGGTGGAGCTCAGCCCCAGTGCTGTCCCCAAGGGCAGCCCCTGTCCAGGTAGCAGGTGGTTTGCTGTTTCTGTTCTCGCCCCACGCGTGGGCCATTAGGGCTGTCACTGTCCTCTGTGGACAGATGCCTCGCACTCAGCCGTGGCTAAGCAGGGCCCCAACCCCATGTGCCTGGAGGGACGAAGCTGGAGGCCGCCCCTGAGATGGGTGGGACCCTAGCTGGCCTGACATAGGGTCCAGAGGCGCTGCCCACCCCCTGTACATAACTGTAGCCCCAGCTCGCCACCCCAAGCACCCGTGTGTCTGCCCCAGTGACCCCTGGAACCTGCATCCTCCCTGAAGCCATGTAAGGTGTGCCCTCCTCACACCGCACCGTTTTTTAAATAAAGGAAAGAAACGCTGAGCTGCTGCGTTTGTGCCCCACCCGGCACTGCCAAGCCCAGGTGCTGATTACCTGAGCAGAGGCCAGGAAACCACATGGGGCAGAGTCTGCAAGGTGCCAGCTTCCAGGAGCATCCTCACAGGCTTGGAGGGGTCAGAAGGGAGCTGCAGGTGCCCTGCTCCTGTGAGGAAGCAGCCAGTGACAGCACCACCACACCAGCACAAGCCTGCAGTGTGTCACTCAGTCCTCAACATGCAACCAGTTATAAAGCATTCCAGTAAATAAGAGGGCTGGGGAAGAGCACCGAGCCGGGTGCTGTGGTGAGCACCTGGGACGCCAGCTGCTTAGGCTGAGGCAGGAGAACTTTGCTTTGCGAGACCCCGTCTCAAAATGGCTCAGTGGTGGGTACTGGCTAGCATGTGTAAAGCCCTCAGTAATTAAACAAGACTCCCAAGTACTTCAGAAACGAGTCAGCAAAGAACTTACACATTCAGGAGAGCAGAAGCACTGGGTATATAGTACATGCCTGTTATCCCAGCACTATGGGAAGCTGGGACAGAACTGCAAGTGCTGGTACGGCCTAGGCAACTTTGCAAGACTCTGTCTCAAAAATAGGGCTGGGGATGTAGCTTGGTTCAAAGGATCTGAGTTCAATCCCTAGTACTGAAGAAAAGAGATGTGGAGACAAACCTAGAGGTCTGATTTCCAGAGAGGAATGAGCGCTCTTAGGTGAGCACAGCTCCCCGCATCCCCTGCACCCGACCTAGGTGGGGTTGGCTGTACTTTAGGCAGAGGCATCTCTGGGGAAACCCAGGCTAGGAGCGTGTCTGGTGAGCCTGGATGGTGAGGCTGGGGCACCAGTGCAGGGTGAAGCCTCCTGCTGTCCTCCAACACTGGGAATCAGGGTCTGCGGGACTTGGGTGAGCTGAGGCCCTGCCTGCACACGGTGCACCTTTCAGAAAACATTTACCCAGGAGCCCTTTGCACAGCACCTGGCTCGCAGAACCATCACCATCAGCCACCAGCCCGCCCACAGGAGGCTCACCCAGGTGTGAAGCAGATGGCGAGTAACAGAACCGAGGCCCCCGGCTAAGCAGCTTTTCCTTTTGGAGCGGGGTGGAAATGGGAATAGAACCAGTGTACCTTCACTGAGCTACGTCCCCAGCACCTTTAAACATGGAGACAGGAACTAAGTTGTACAGGCTGCGCCCAAACATGCACCCCTCTTGCCTCAGCCTCCTAGAGTGCTGGGATGACAGGTGAGGGCCTCCATGCAAACAAATAGGATGGCCGAAAAATAGACAAAACACAAGAGATTTAAGAGGTCAAAACTGTCCAAACTAAAACAGAAAAAATCAGGAAAGCCAGCAGCCAGTGTGAAACCTGTGAGATAATACAAATGGTCCTGCACACCAGGAGCTGAGGTCCTGGGGCAGAAGAAAGGTCTCAGGAGCTGAAAGGAAGATAGCACTCCACAGACTGATAAGCTCAGGAAATTGCAAGCAAAGTCTATACAAGGAAAACCACACAGCAGTCCACGGAAAACTAAAGACGAAACATTTTGGCAGAGCTGCACATCAGCCCCGGCCTCACACCTGCTAGCCTGGCAGGTGCCCTGTCAGCAGCAGCCGCCCTAATCCACGAAAATCTTGAAAGCAGGCAGGTAGCCAGGCGCAGTGACGCACACCTGTCTTCCCAGCACTCTGGGAAGCTGAGCCAGGACCACCGCCTGGGAAATTTAGCACAATCGCTCAAAATAAAAGAGGGTGGAAAAAAAGAAGAGGATGGGGATATAGCTTAGTGAAAAGGCTCTGGGTTCAACCCCCAGCACCTCCACCACCACCACCAAAAAAAAAAAAGCATACAAAAGGTCCGTTATTTTGAAGTGAATGATAATGACATAACTAATTTCTCAACAAAAATAATGGGAATATTTGAAATGCTGAAAGGCAACATAACAAAACAAAAGCTAAGTTTCATTCAGAGCAAAACATCCTCCTGCCTTGCAAGCAAGTGCAAGGTTCTGAGTGTGATCCCTGACCCTGGTACCAAAAAAACAAAACAGAGCAACACATCCTTTGTTAGTGACATCAAGATAAAGATCCTGTGGGCAGCCGGGCTGGGAGGCCACACCACAGGGAGCGGTGTCGCGCAGTCTCGGGTGGAAGGAACGCAGAGCATCCCAAAGGGGAGACCGCACAGCCCCGCGCACAGCCAGGCAAGCGCTCAGGGTGGAGCCGCACCCTCACCCCTCTGTCTTCTCGCTCTGCGATGGAGCCTCACTGAGATGCCCGAACTGGCTCCAACCCGTGATCCTCCTGCCTCAGTGTGCTGCGTGGCTGGGAAGGGTGCCTACACGTCTGCTCTACAAAATGTATTTTAAAGAATACAGGACAAATTCAATAGTGGGAAATTGTGGGCTTATAAGATGTAGAAATAAAAGTAATACTGAAGCTGGGCGTGGTGGCGCACGCCTGTAATCCCAGCACTAGAGAGGCTGAGGAAGGAGTATCGCTGTGAGTTTGAGACCAGTCTGGAATACATAGTGAGTTCCAGGTCAGTCTCAACTACATAGTGAGACCCTGACTCAAAAAACCAAAAACAAACAAAAACAAAAATAGTGAAAAAAAGGGAAAACTTAAAACAAACTGTACGTATATCAGTACACACACACACATTCACCTGCGTTTCCCATGTGTATGTATTGAAAGCTAGTTAACACCACGCCTGCCTCACAAGTGCGAGGTCCCAAGTCCGATCCCTGGTACTGGGGGAGGGCAGTTAAGCAGATATGTGAGCTCTAGTGCAACATGGTAGGGTTTGATCTAGACGCGGTCTTATTATGTAGATCAGACTGTCCTCGAACAGTGTAGCCCAGGCTGGCTTCAAACTTGAAACATCCTCCTGAATGCTGGCTGGTGGGGCTCTATCTTAACCCTCCTTTCTGCTCATCCTGTGGCCTTAATAATGAATAGGGTCCCACTATGCACAAGTGGCATGTGAATGTCCTAACTCTACACCACAGTGAGCACAACCCCAATGGCTCATCCATCTTTTTTTTTTTCTTTTTCTTACAAGTAGACTTTTTTTTTTCCGTACTGGGGATCAAACTCAGGACCTCCCACTTGCCAGGCAGGCATGGCACCGCGGAGCTACATCCCTGGTCCTGTTTGTTTTTCTTGAGACAGGTCTCTATATAGCCCGACCTGCCCTTGAACCTGCGATTGCTCCTCCTGCTCAGCCTCCAGAGTGCTGGGATTGCAGCACTGAGCTGGCTCATCCATCTGCTCCCATCCAAGTACTAACCGGGCTCAACTGCGCTTAGCTTCCGTGACCGCGAGCGTTCGGGTGACACAGCCAACCGTAGACTGTGCCCACCTTCCGCAGCTTCTACTTCGTCACGGCACTTGGGTGGTCTTGTTTTCCATCCTCGTCCTAAGTCTTAAAATTAAAAGTCCATTCCTGAGGAAGTCCTATTGCCCCAGCTGGCCTGGGACCTCAACTCTAATCTCCCAGGGCGACAGGCGTGTAAACTTATCGGCCCAGCCTCTGCTTCCCTTCCACAACTATGTTGTTGGGAGGAAATCAGGGGTAGCAGGGCAGGCCTCAGAGTTGTCTTGCTCCAGTGGCACAGGGTCCCAACCACGTTTTCTGGACTACTGCTGATTTTCCACCCTGCTTTCTACCCCTGCAGAGAAGTGCTCTCTTGTTCCCTCTCTCCGCTTCAGTCACGGGGTGAGCTGTGGGACGCAGCTAGGCCAGACACTCAAGACCGAGCCGAGCTGTGGCTGTGACCGTCCGTGGGCCGCACGTCCGTGTTCTGCCCTTCCTGTACGTCTTTCTAGTTAGCATGCTATTTGCTCTCTCCCTTCAACAAGGCAGAACCTGGCTTCCATCCTTACTTCTTCCTGTCTGGCCTCCATTCCCATAGGCCCCTGACAGCTCTAGGCTGCACCCTTTGGAAAAACCAGATGCCACACTGAAAAGTGATTTTTTTTTTTTATTTTCTTAAAAAAGCCCCTAAATTCTATGGCTTCAAGGAAGCGTCAGAGAAACGTAAATGCCATTTCTGTACACTTTGTAAAGCAAGAACTATGCCTGAATGACCACCACCCTGGAAGTGGGCGCCGCACCCACCTGGCAGTTTCCCAGGCCCTGCAGGGGTCGCCACCCGGCTCTGTGGCTGCCCCGCCAGCAACACCCACAGGGTGCAGGGCTTTAAGGCGATTCGGCTCCCGCTGCTGTGCCCCACTGGCAGCAGCGCGGAGACCAGAAGCCCCAGCTGCAGCTGGTGCAGAGAGAGCCCACACGGCCCAGATCCTGGGCAGGGGCAGTGGACGCCCAGCCGAGGGGCCAGGGTGCCTCCGGGAGCAGGTGCACTCTCCAGCACAGGGCTGCGCTCCGGCCCAGCTTTGGTGCAGCATTTTGGTTGGGGGGCTGGCTCCAGCCGGACTGCGCCCCGCCCCACCTTCCCCTTTGGTCTGGGGTTGGACCGAGCCGGTCTCACCCTGCAGCAGTGCCAGAGCCCCCTTCGTGGGGCAGCCAGCTCACCGAACACCCCTCCTGGGCTGGGCCTGCCCCTGCCCTCTCAAGGAAATGGCCTTTGGATCAAGGGAGACAAGGTGGACATTATGAGGCTAACGGGCGGCGGTGGCACCCAGCCCAGTCTCACTACTCACTCGGCAGACGGGGAGGGCAGCGGGCCTCTGGGTTCCTTTGTTCCTTGTTTAAATAGTTAATGCTCTCAGAGGGGAGGACTAGACACAGGTGTAGAAATTTCGGCCAAAGTCTTACGTGAAGGAAGGGACCCACGTCTGGGCCAAGTGGCCCGCAGTCTGACTTGGGCTGCGGCGAGTCGCTGGCCAGCCTGGCCAGCCTGTGGGTGGCCCACAGCCTCGGGGACAAGTTGGCCCGAGGGCAGCATCGAGGACAGTCACATGCCAAGAGTGCCTGGGTCACTTGTGCCGCTGTAGGGATTTTCTCTTCCTCCTCTTGAAGAAACAGCAGCACCTGTGAGGGTGGGCCAGGGGAGTGGGTGGGTGTGAGGACCATGGAAGTCCCTTCCAGACAGCCGACCTCTTGCCCTGGGCCTTACTTGGTGTCATCAGCCACTTCAACCTCCGCTGGGGCCGTGATGGGGGCGTTGGAATGCCCTGCGGTGGGATCATCCGCGTTCAGCTCTCCATTGGTGGAGTTCAGCGCCTGGGCCAGCAGCGGAGGGGTCAGGGGGGGTCGGGCCAGCTAGCTCACACGCCGGGGTGCGGGATCCCACCCTGGCCTCACCTGGTTTTTGCTGTGGGGCTGGACTTTGTCCCGGTGCGGGGGCTGGGAGGGCAGGTCGGAGTGCACGGTGCCAATGGGCGTGGGCTGTGGAGCCAGCAGGTGTCAGGATGGCCTGGTTCCCTGGTTTCTGCCCTTCCCAGAGCCTCATATAGGCACCCAGCCCTCACCTCCTGTTGGGGTCCCCACCCACAGCCTCCCACTGGCAGAATGGCCCTCAGACCCGCATACCAGGGGTTTTCCAGCCCAGTCATACTCATAGTCGAACACAAAACCGCTGCGGTCGAAGAGGTCAGTGAAGAGCTTCCGTAGGTAGTCATAGTCTGGTTTCTCGAAGAAGTCCAGACGCCGCACATACCGCAGGTACGTGGCCATCTCCTCTGCAGAGAGGATGGGAGGGAGTCGTGCGGCGGTCATGGGGGGAGCGAGGGGACCACAGGATTGGAGATGCTGCCACCAAGAGCCTCACCTGGGAAGCTCTCACACAGCACCTCGATGGGCGTGGCGCGCTTGGTGTCCCCAATCTTCTGGTACCGCTCCTTGAGCGTGTCAGCCTGCAGAGACAGGGCACAGACGGATGAATGGTCAGCTGTGTCCCCTTGACTCCCATCCCGTCCTACCACTCCCTCACGCACCTTGAGCCCCTGCCAGGGCAAGCTGCCACGCAGGAAGTACATGAACATGTGGCCCAGAGCCTCCAGATCATCGCGGCGGCTCTGCTCTGCGGGGACAGCAGCAGGGACGGTGACTCAGCGCGGCCCGGAAGCCCGCCCCCCATCCGTACACTCTGCTCACCCTTGCCCAGGTGCGTGTTGATGCTCATGTAGCGCGCTGTGCCCGTGAGGCTCTTGTGCTCGCGGTACGGGATGTGCTTCTTGGTCTCGGGGTCGATGTACTCCTTGGCCAGCCCGAAGTCGATGATGTGGATGGAGTGCTGCCGCTTGGTCCCCGGACGCCCCACCAGGAAGTTCTCTGGCTTCACATCCCGATAGATGAGGCTCTTGGTGTGCACGTACTCCATGCGAGTTATCTGGGGAGGCGGAGCCTCAGCGGGGCAGGGCACGCCCCAGGCTCGCCCCGCCTTCCAGCCCCTAACAGCCCGCCCACCGCCACCACCGGCTCCTCCCGTGCCCCACCTCTCCCAGCACCCCGCGCACCAGCTGGATGGCGATCATGAGCACCGTCTTCAGCGTGAAGGTTCGGTCGCACAGGTCGAACAGGTCCTCTAGGCTGGGCCCCAAAAGCTCCAGCACCATGGCGTTGTACTTCCCGCAAGGGCCGAAGTAGTAGACCTGAGGGACGCCCTCTGTGGGCGGAGTCAGACTCTTGCTGGAGCCGCCCCACCCCTCCAGCGCACCAGCTGGATGGCGATCATGAGCACCGTCTTCAGCGTGAAGGTTCGGTCGCACAGGTCGAACAGGTCCTCTAGGCTGGGCCCCAAAAGCTCCAGCACCATGGCGTTGTACTTCCCGCAAGGGCCGAAGTAGTAGACCTGAGGGACGCCCTCTGTGGGCGGAGTCAGACTCTTGCTGGAGCCGCCCCACCCCTCCACAGATGGGCTCCTACGGACAGGCGCACTCTTACCCAGGCTCTCTGTGCCCGCCCCAGGACCCCGAGGGAGGGTGGAAGGAGGACCCACTCACCAGTTTGATAGCCACATACTCGTTTGTATAGAGGTTCTTTCCTGTGAGGACAGAGAGGCCATCAGGACTGCAGGGCCCCGGGCTGCCGCACTCACCCCACCTCCTGAGCCATTCGTTAGCAGAACGCAGACCCCTGCCAGTGCCTGGGGGGCATCAACCCTTCAGGACGCGGTAGCCCAGCCCCCCACCTGCACCCCAAAAGCCACTTTTTGTTTTTGGAACTGGGGATTGAGCTCAGGACCACACGCTTGCCAGGCAGGCACTATGCCTCTGAGTTACTTCTGCACAGGAGCCCCATCCAAATTCCCAGCTTCTGCCACATACTACGTGGGGAGCTTCATCCCAGGGTGCCGGGACAGAGCCCCTCCCCACCTCTGGGCCCTGGCCCACACTCCAAGACCCAGCCAGGTGTGGTCTCACCTGCAGGGCTGTATGAAATGTCCCCTTGACCCATCTCCTTGGGGCCACTCAAGCCTGGGCCCAGTGCGGTAGGTGGGTGTGACCCACCTCAGCTCTACACAAGGTAGGGGAACCCTACTTGGCCCCTCAGGGTCCTTTGTTTGTTCACTGTGCACACGGAGCAGGCACAGCCTGTGTCACCTCTGTCTGTCCACCCAGGCTGTCCACATGGGAAGGCCATCTCTGGCCTCCCTCTCCCCAGTGACCACATCCTGCCTGACTGCCCCACCATGTGCCCTGCTGTGTGTTCTCGGGCACTGCCTGGCACCAATATTCCAGGAGCCCTGTATCCTCTGAGGACAGCAGCTGTGGACACCTGCCCCAGCGAGACCAAACCCTGCTGAGGCCACAGTCACAACCTCCCTCGGCCTAGGAGGGCCTGAACTTCCTCGCTGCGGCTCTCCCTGGCCTTGCTGAGTTCACTCCAGGCCTTCAGGGTCCAGCCATCCTGGTCCCCTGCAGGGACCTCATCACTGCAGGACTTAGGAAAGTGACATCTTGAGAATCTGGAGTGATCTTGCTGAGGGGCAAGTTCTGGTACCCTGAGTTTTCTGGTACAAAGGGCACCTGCCTCTTCATCAGCTCAGCTCCAGACCTAGCACAGGGAACAGGGTGGCAGAGCAGCCAATGACACCGAACTGTGTCCCAACCAGGCAAGAGTGACGGACAAGCCCCCAGGGCCTGCCTGTGGCCACCTTGTCTGCCTTGCTCTCAGGGGCCTTTCTCCAGTCCTTGTTTCCCCGAGGAAAGTTGGGGTCTGTGAGCTTTGGTGCTGGTCTCCGGATGGCTTCTCCCTACACCCCTACTTAGGGGTAGCTCCCTTCAGATAGCTCTAAGGCCCGAGATTGGTTCCAGGCGACCTTGACTTCTCTTGCCCACTGGGAGAAACACGGGCTCTTTCCAGCCTGGGGCTCCCAGAAATCAAGCAGTGAACCCTGCTGGGGGAACTGGGGTCCGTGGCGGCCACATGTGGAACATGACTGGTGGCAGGAGGCATGGCCCTCTCTCCGGCCATTCCCCCCCCACCTTTTTTTTTAAGACAGGGTCTCCCTATATAGTTCAGGCTAGCCTTGAACTCACTGTCTGGCCTGGAACTGAACTCAAGGTGGTCCTCCTGCTTCACCCTCCCAAGTGCTGGGATTACAGGCGTACATCACCACGCCAAGCCATCTTCCTGTCTTCTGAGATAGGTCTGTTCAGGTCTTCTACCTGCTTGTCATCCCGCAGTTTGCTTTCCAGTGTGGAGAATCCGGAAGCCAGGGCTTCCCTAGTCAGACACCCCAAGGTCAGTGCCTGCAGCTGTGGCTAGCCCACCTGCGCCCTGCAGTGCCACTTCCCTCATGGCTCTTTTCTCCACAGTGATTTCCTCTGTTTTCAGCCAAACCAGTCCCAGGGTTGACTGAGGGGTGGAACTGTGTGAGGTGAGGCCCTTGGGGGTGGCCTGGGGCCATGAGGCCGTGTGCAGGAGACTGAGGTCTCCCTAGATGCAGGACTCGAGAGGAGTAGCTCAGTGCTCTGGCTCTGTGGCCACATGAGGTCCCTGAGGTGTTCCAGGGGCCATGTCCTAGACAGGAGACTGTAAGGCTGGACAGAAAAGCACTCAGGGGCTGCTGGAGAACTGAGGCTCAGCTCTCACAGCAAGGACCCCTCCAAACTCCCAAGATCCAGCTGAACCCCGGAGCCCATGGGAAAGAAGGGAGCCATCCAACCCTGAAGCAACAACAAAATGGAAAAACAAAGTGGCCAGCACTTAACACGATTTTCAACTCTGAGAAATGATGGAATCCACTTTGGATACATACACAGCACCCTCCAGCATACAGTAAAACTTTACCAGACCCAAGAGGAAGGACAGATATACAACTAGTATCAAGGGGAACAGGGGATCCAGGAACACGGGTCCGACACTGGTGTTTAAATTCTGGCTTTTTTGGCAGTGCCAGGGATGGAACCCAGGGCCTCTGCACATGCTAGGCAAGCACTCACCGCTGGGCTACAGCTCCAGCCCTGGACACTGGTATTTAAAACAGTGCTGTGGCCTTGAGGTGTCCCTAGACCTCAGGGCAGGGGTGTATGGTGTCACCTTCGGAGCAGAGTCAATGCCCTCATCCGAGGACGGTCCTGCTCGCTCTCCCTCTCACCCTCCCTTGGCACCTGTCACGGGTGTCTCATCAGAGGCACCCCTCAGCCATGGACTTTCCAGCCATCTAAACCACCAGCCGGGGACCTGCGGAGGGAAGCCAGGGCTTCCTCTGTGCTAAGCATGCACTCACTACTGATTTCCCTGCTCTGACCACCACAGCACCGGTGAGGACAGGGGCAGCCGAATCTGCTGCCTGCAGAGCTCCGAGTAGAGGTAGCTACGGAAACCGGACTCCCAGCTCCTCCCACACACAATGACTGGGATACTGGCACTGTCACCACGACACGCACGCCCGTCCCCTTGGACATCCAGGCAGTTCCACTCCTAGGCACCCACACAGGGAGCCCGAGAGGCCTTGCCAGAGAAGTGAGATGGGGGCCTCCCACCGACAGCTGACCTCTAGCAACACCCAGTGCTGCAGACAGGGACACAGCCAGAGGCCAGACCAAGAGGCACACACAGCACAGTCAGAGAGGTTTATGAAGCAGAATCTACCACAGTCACAGCCATGACTGCACCTCCTTTGTGTGGTAACCGTGCTGCCTCACCTCTGACCCAGACAGGACCCACGGTGACCACCAGGGTCCCCTCCCCAAAGAGGCACAGGGCCTGTTAGGCTGCAGGCCAGATAAGTGTGCCGTAGGTGTGCACCTCCAGGTCTGCCGGCACTCGACGGGCTGTGTGAGCACGTGTGCACATGCGCTGAGAGGCGGCAGGCGTAGACGAGACCGTGCGGCTGAGAACATTTGCCTGCTGCAGGTGCGGCAAGAAGGGACTCCCAAGTTCCAGAAGTAAACGACTACTTGTACCAGTCAAATGCCAGTCCCCATGCTGCCCTCAAGAGGGGAACTGTCACACTCCAGTAAGGGGAGGAACCTGGAGTAGGGGGTCTCAGATCCTCACACAGGATAAGGACATGCAGGTGAGGAGCTAAGTTCTGGGGCCACGCGTCCAAGTCACATCCATGCCTTGGGCCTCAGTTTCCCTCATCTGACAATCCAAGGCGGGGCCGGAGGACTGATGCTGGCACCGCCTGGCATGGGATGTATAATGAGGCTTCTTGCTGCCACCAACTCCATGACAGGCACTGGCATGGAGCCCCATTGTCACCTGGGTCCCTGACAAGCCCGTGATGAAGGTCAGCCGCCTCGTGCCTCCAGCCACTCAGCTTTTCCAGGGTTGTGGGGGGAGGGGGGTACAGTGAGCCAGGGGACTTTAGGCACCCAGGAAGAGTCACCCGTACTCCAGGGACACCTGGCCTCCCAGTGCCGGTCAGGTCAGACACACACCCAGAGCCCAGAGAAAAGAACCCCACGGCCAGGTGCTGACCACCAAGACCGCGAGCAGCTCAGTCCCGGGTTGGCAGCAGCCCAAGCTTCCACAGATGCCCTGGGAGGCTACGCACTGAGGGTTGAGTTTCTTCACAGGACAATTGTTCTGTGCTCTCTCGGCTACCTGGGAAACTTAGTCAGACCCTGTCTCAAAAAAGGCCTGGGGGTAGGGATTTAGTGGCACCGCACCTGCCACCCAAATGCAAGGTCCTGAGTTTGATCCCTGGTACCAACCCCGGTACCAAAAACAAACAAACAAAAAAACAATGGGGGTGCTGGGGATGGAGCTCAGTGGGAAGGCCCTGGGTTTAATCCCCAGTACCACAACAAACAAACAAACAAACAAACCAAAAAAAAACCCCTGGCCTCGATGATCCCTAATAATCCAAAGTGTAACCATCAGCAACAGCTCAGCAGATGGGGAGTGCTTCTCCACATGGGTAGCCCCCTGGTGCCCTCCCGGCTGCCCTGCAGCCCAAGCTGGGGCTCACCTAGGCGGAGCTCCCCGAAGTTGCCGCAGCCTATCTTCTTGCCGACTCGGAAGTTGGGGCCCACCATCAGGACCCCCGAGCTGGTCCCTGAGCTCCGAACGCCGTGGCCGCTGCGGCCCCCGCCAGTCTTAGACATTCTCCGGCCCTCTTCCAGCTCCCCTTTCCCTCCTTTCTTGTCAAAATCCATCAGTTTGTGATACCCTGGCCTCTCCACGGTGGCTCTGCACCTGCAGGTCCCAAGTCTGTGGAAGCCGAGGTCGCCGCTGCCTAGCACACCATCGTGGCCCCGTGGCCCCGCGGCTCCAGCTAGTGGGTCGTGTGCACTTTCATGGGCCTGGTGGTAGTGCGCATCTTGGTGGCCTGGGCTTCGCTCGCAGGGAGAGGAGACATTCTGCTGACAGATTCCACCACCTCAAATCTCAGGGCACGCAGCTGTGGAGAGAGAGGCACAGATCAGGAGGCTGCGAGCCCCAGGGGGCCCAGTGTGCAGGTTTACCACGGGGCAGGTGGATTGTTCAGCAAAGATCCCTACAAATCTAAGCATGGCAGGCAATGCCCCTGCCCCCACTGGCACTGACTGGCTGCAGATCAGAGGTTGCGGCCAAGGCTGTGTGCATGGCCCAGAGGGAGGCAGTGGTACTTTTTAGAGAAAGTTCTGACTTGGGCCAGACAGGCAAGGAGCCTCACACAGCTACAGAAACACTCTGCCTCAAGAGTATGAACCCTACCACATGGGAGGGGCCCGGGTGGCTGAAGCCAGAGAGGCCCCAAAGCTGGTGCAGAGAGCCTGCCAATCTGTGTCCATGCTGAATGGCACCAAGAGCAAGGGGAGGGCAGAACGATGACCCCGGGGACAGGAGCCTCCCCACTGACCTGAGCCAGATGTGTGTGTCGGGGACCACACACAAGGCACTGACCCAGATTGCCGCCTTGCCTTGCTCTCCAGCTACCACAATGGGAAGCGCCCAGGGCCTGAGAGACACACGGAAAGGTGGGCCTGGCCCCTGCAGGTGGGAAGGTGGGTCCCAGGGAGCAGGAGGAGGGCACAGTTCCTTAGCAGGGCCCAGACGGGGGCCAACTCATGGTCCAGATTTCCAGCGGGCTCCCCCAGAGCTGCCCTATATCCTCTCCCTTAAAATGCATAGCCCACCTGGGTGCAATGACACACCTGTGGTACCTGCACTCTATGGAGCTGAAAGAGGAGGATCACAAGTCAGGGCCTAGCCTGAACAACTCAAGTGAGAACCTGTCTCTAAATAAATAAAATAAAGGTGAGAGATGTACCTCAGTGTGATGACCCAAGCTCAATTCCTAATACCGCCAAAAAAAAAAGAAAAAAAAAGAAAAGAAAAAGCCACAGCCCAGACAAGGTTCTCAGTCACAAGCACCTGCACTATAGACCGTTCCATCACCCTACTGCTCCATGCCCTTCCCTAAAAGATCCCCACTCATCTCTCATCTCAGCCCCGCCGCCCCGTTCCCAAACTCAGAGCCCTCAGCATGCACAAAGCCTCGGGCTCCACTCCCAACACCAAAACCACAAGAAACAGCAACCTAAACACTCTGGCTGGCCCCGCACCCTTGCCTGGCATTGTCACTGCCCTAGCTGAGAAACCCGGCCCCAGGGAACCCTGTGAATGGCCAGGACGAGACCAGGAGGTGAAGGGGAGCAGTGAAGGAAACACAGGCACCACAGCCCTAGCCAGAGGTGACCATGGTGTCTGATGGGAACACAGGGAGCGCCTGCCCAGGGCTCAGATGGCACCCATCCTCTCCAAGGCCCGTGTCAGCAGTGACCAGAGGGGCCACCCAGGTGGGTGTGGCAGGACAGGCACCACTGCCCAGACTGCAGGCAGGACGGGCGATGCCAATGTCCCCAGTGTATGAGCCCCGATGCATCCATGCTGGAAGGCCTGGCTGGCTGCAGGTGCACCGAAAGGACAGCACCACTCAGATCAGATGGGGCTGTGGCCCTAACGTAGAGGTGACACAGCCACAAAGACATGGTGACACAGGGTGCGGGGGTTAGGGTGAAGCATATCTCTTCAGGCCTTGTTAGGGGCCCAGATTCACCTGACTGAACCCATACCTCAAGGTCACCCAGCCCATGGAGGGACAGGCTAGGAACAAGGGCTGATGCTGGAGGCCACAGTGCAGGATCAGCGGAGACCAGAAGGAAGATAGTTCCCTCCTCAGCCTTGGGCTTGGGTCCTGGGGACCTGGCTCAGAGTTGAGGACCAGAGGACAGGGGCAGGTCCCTCCCCAGGGCCACATGCTTGGGAAGAGGTGGAACCACAGGCAGCAGAACCTGACAGGTGGGACACCCAGATCTGATATACAACCTACAAGTACTCAAGTGTCTGCCAGAGTCATATGTCCGCTCTGGCCCTGACAAGAACCAAGCCGCTGCATCCCCCTAGGGCCCTGGCTCCCGTGACCCTGCTGCCTCTTCCTTGATGGCTGTCAGGAGAGAGGGCACAGCCAGCTGTGAGCAGCACTGGTCTGCCTGGACACCAATGGTGGCACTGTTTCCAGTTGACACCTTGTCTGAGACACTGCCTATCAGGGACAATGCATGAGTGACAAGCTTATTACTGGGCCTTCGTGGCAGACATCACAACTGAGGGGACAAGGAAGGGGTCCCTCCGGGGTGAGAGGGCCATTGGGCTGTAGTGTAAAGGTAAGCCCTCGAGTGACTTCACAGAGGCCAAAACAGTCATGACAGAGGAGCCCAGGCCCAAGCCTGGCAAGGCAGCACAGCATCGGGGAGCCATGAACACAGCCACCCTCCTCCACTGTGGCTACAAGGCCAACCTGGTGCTGGCTGCCAAAGCACCCATACTGCTTTCATGACTTCCCTCACCAAGCAGAGAAGCAGCCTGTCCTTGTCATGGGCAGCGGGGCCACAGGGGCAGACCCTGCACAGTATCTCAGGAACCAACTGTCACCCCTCTGTCCTTCATGCATGCGGTGAGAGAACAACCCAGGAGCCACCTGCGCAAAGCCACTGCTGAAAATTTAACCTCGGGCCAGGGATTTGGCTCAGTGATACCACTGCCTGCCTGGAAAGCACAAGGTCCCAAATCCAATCCCTGGTACAAAAAAAAAAAAAGAAAGCAAGAAAGAAAATCTAATCTCTAAGAAGTCACACCAGAGACAAGGTGGTCCGAGTCTGTGCTCAGGGCACAACTTCCTGGAGCTGACTGTGCCCTGGGGTCGTGCTCTTCCAAGGTGTCCCAGGGAATGGAGCCCTGCTGCCCAGCGCTACACTTAGGGACGTTTTTCAGATCAGCCGCCACAGAGAAGCTACACCTTGGAAACAGCCAGCATGCCAGCCTGGCCTGCCGCTCCAGTCCTCACCAATGCGGGGACAGAAGTAATGCAGACTGAATGCCTAAGTGGTCATGGGTCAAGTGGGGCAGCACGTCTGTCATCCCTACTAGCCAAGAGGCTGAGGCAGGACTGTGAGCTTGAGGCCAGCCTGCACAACTTAGTGAGACTCTGCCCTGAAGCAAAGGGGCTGGGAATGCAGCTCAATGTAAGGCCCTGGGTTCCTACCCTAGTGAAGCAAAAAGAAAAAGTGGTCACGGCTCAGGGCATCACTTCATGAGCAGCAAGAAGAACCCTGACAGCACTCGCTCCTCCAAGCACAGGCATTCGTCACGGTGCAAGAGGTGCTTAGGCTCTCACTAGTAACAGCCGCAGATCAGCAGCTGTGAAAAGGACTTAGCGAAGTCAACAAAGCCCTCAAGTAGGAGCTAACAGTTCTGTGCGATGTCCAGCAGAGGATCATCCACTTCATATCCCTAACTGTGAGCCTCAATACTCGCACAAACCATTACTTTTATGTTTTGTCTCTGGAGTTGCCCGTCCCAGGCATTTCCTGTCCTTGGAGCACACGCTGTGTGTCCTCAGCCTGGCACCAGGTCAAGGTCCATCCACACTGTGGCGAGTGTTATGACCGAGTGACATCCTGGCATACGGTGGACCTTGCTGTGCGTCCCTCCGTGGATACGGGGCGGTTCCCACCTCCTGGCTGCTGTGAGCACTGTGTGCGAGTCATTTCTCCTAGGTGCCCACATAGAGGTGGCATCTATCTCTTCTGGAAGCCACCAGCCGGTTATCCACAGCGGCTCACCGCTTCACGGTCACTGTCTGCTGTCTGTTTTGGTCACGGCACCCTGTAGGTGGGAGGGGATACTTCACTGAGGTTTCAATTCGCTTTTCCTCACCAATTCCTGTTTACTGAGGACACAGCTTTCTCCGCTGGGCTGAAGATGGGAGGTGGCCAAAAGCATTGCTGCAGATGAGTGACCACGGCTGGGTAAATAATGACGACCCCGGCCACCTTCATTACTGCTTGGTTTCTGTCAGCTTCCTACCTCGTTTTCCCTACTCCTAAATGAAGGAAAGCCAGGGTGGTCAGCCCAGCTTCCTCAAACCAACCGGGACGGCATGATGGGCATCTTCCCATGGGAAATGGAGTCCCAGGAGAGGACTGAGGAGGACTGACTCGCCTTCACGCCAGGAGGACACCCACTGTACAGAGGTAAGCAACTGGTTTCCGGTAGCACCTCCAGACCTCCTGGCCCTGCTGTGTTGGGATCCTGGGAAGACCTACAGCCCTGCCGGCCCTGAGGAAATGCCCTGCTCAGCATCCAGCCCGGGGGACCCACTGTCTCCACTCACGCCACCTGCCCAGGGCGGTCTGAAGGGCTGGGTGGCAGCCGAGCCTGTTCCCGTTGGTCAGGAAGTGGCATCTATCTGCCTGCCCTTCCACTGTGGGTGCCCCACTGAGAGTAGCACAGGAGGTGGAGGTGATTTAGGCCAGCTGGCGCCGGGAGGGGACTCTGCATAGGCAGGAGGCAGCTCAGAGCCAGGGTGGCTCCCTGCCTGCTGGACCCCGACATCATCACAGGCAGTGATGCCTGCCATGGGGCAGCAAACTGAAACCAAGTGACCGCACAGCTGTGCCCTCCACTCTGCCCTCTCTGGGGGCAGGAAGTCCAGTCCTGACACACCTCGTCACACTTGGACAACATACCACAAAGGCACACCCTCCATCCTTGGCAAACTGGGAAGGGGTCACCCAAATGCACACGTTGGACGCTCCACTACCAACACCGAAGGAGTGCTGACTTGAGTGTACATGTACATGTGCCCACACATGGCACCCTGAGAGGCCAGTATGCCCACAGCTCATCACCCTGTGTCCAGATGCAGGAAGGGCAGAGCTGTGCCCTGCCAGAGGCTAAGAGGTCATCTGTTGAAGCCATCATTCTGGGGACACACGCGAACAGGAAGGGGCTTTGGGGTGTATGGGACTCCAGACAGATAGCAAATTTTAGGCCCACAGCCTGTGCTGAGCTGGAGCTGACAGGTGCCCCAAGCCCAGCAGGGCATAGATGCTACATCCTCACCCAGCCCTGTACCACTCTCTGGCCACTCCTGAGCTGCATCCTCTCTGATGGACAGGCAGCTATGGCATCTGAGATGCCACACACACACACACACACACACACACAGAACAGGGAGCCGGAGTCTGAGCTGGGACAGTGCTACAGAGGATGCTCCTGGGGTCAAGAACTTAAAGCCAGGTATGTTGGTGAAGGCCTGTAATTCCAGTTATTCTGGAGTTTAAGGCAGGAGGATCCTGAGTTCAAGCCCAGCCTGGCCAACTCAGTGACCTGGCGAGACCTTGTCTTAAAAAAAAAAAGAAAAAGCTGCCAGGCATGGTGACACTCACCTGCCATCCTAGCCCTCAGCAGGACACGTTCAGGAGCACTGCAACTTCAAGGCCAGCCCAGGACATAGTGAGCTCAAGTCCAGCCTGAACTGCATAGTGAGACACTGTCTCAAAGAAAAGAGTCGAGGATGCAGATCAGGGTCAAGGCCTGGGCTCCATCCCCAGTACAGAAAAGAGTGGGAAGGGAGGAAAAGTCAGGTCAGTTTGAGAAAGGGTTGCAGCCTCAATGGGTATGGGAGACATCAGGACAAATGTGGGCTCCGGGGACAAAAATGGTGTTTCAGGGAAAGAGCCGCTTCAGTGAGGCTTGCACCCTGGCTAACAAGGACACTGGGTTGGCTTAGTGATCATGGTCAACATCCTCAAGGGGGCCTCTGTATCTTTTTGCTCAGCTTTTTTCTTTCTTTTTTTTTCTCCAGCACCAGGGATCAAACTCAGGTTCTCAGGTTCTCACACTTGTGAAGCAGGCGAAAGAACCACTGAGCTAAATCCCTGGCCCATCCTTTCTTCTTTTTTTTGTACAAGGGACCAAACTCAGGACCTTGCACTTGCAAGGCAGGCATGGTACTACTGGGCTAAATCCCAGTCCTCATCTTTTCTTTTTTTACAAGAGTGTCCGTGTGTATGTGTGTGCGACACTGGGGATTGAACTCAGGGTCTTTGCACTGAACTACATCCCCAGCCCTTTTTATTTTTTTTACTTTGAGACAGTCTCACTGTCACTAAGTTTCCCAAGCTGGGACTGAACTTGAGGTCCTCCTACCTCAGCCTCCCAGGGTACTGGAACGACAAGTGTCCTCCATGGCGCCTGGCTTCTGCTTGTTTTTCTCTGCACATTTAAAACTGCTCTAAGAAATAAACCTATTAACCTAAAACCAAAGAAAGTAGTCTGAAGGACCCTAAAGATTTCCTGGCTCGCTCCTCCTCTTGTAGGTGGCTCTACTGTCCCCATGGAGCACTGCTCAGCCACTGTGCCCTGCCACCAGTGAGTGATGGAAGCCTGTCCTTCAGAGGAGGAAGGGAGGCCCCCACGCCTGGGAGCCTGTGGCTATGTGTCCCACTGTGTGCTGTCACCTCCGAGCACAGCTGCCCTGCTTCCTCTTCCCTGGTAACCTGCACCCCTCCCAAGCCACAACAGATCTGTCACCAGATCAGAGCAACACGTCAGATCTGTTACTACTCTGAGCAACACGTCAGTACTCAGCCCTGCACAACAAGGGCCAAGGCTGCAAGAAAACACAGCAACCTTCTGGGCCAGCCATGCTCAGAGCCGCCCACGCTGGGAAACAGGGAGCTTGCTCACCCACGGGCTGGGGACATGAGGGCAGGATGTGATGGTGCCCAGGGCTGCGTGCATCCTGTGGGACCCATTCTTATGACAGGCCAGCAACCTGGGACCACCAGAGGAACTTCTCAGGTAACTGGGTCATTTGTCTTGTGATGTCACAGAAGTGGAGCTAGGGTGAATTTTACTCTAGGTAAAATATCTCAACGATTTGGGGGGAGCAGTATAGCAATATAGGAGATGAAACCCAGGGAATGCTGAAATGTATCCCTAGCATTTTTTTCTTTTCTGTAAGCAAACATAGCTTGTTTATTCACTAAGTGCACACATAGGCTGATTGTGACAATGGAACCAGACCTAGCAGCGAGAGCAAAGTTGTTTTTTTTTGGGGGGGGGTATAGGCCCTTGTGCTTGCAAGGCAGGCAGCGGCATAGGCTTTTTTTTTCCCCCCTTTTCTTGAGACAGGGTCTCACTTTGTAATTCAGGCTGGCCTTGAACTCACTATGTATCAAACTTACTGTGATCCTCCTGCCTCCACTCCCGACTGCTGGGATTACAGGTGTGCGCCATCACACCTATTTTTTTTGAAACACAGTCTTGTTTTTTTTTGCTCAGGCTGGCCTCAAACTTGCCACCCTTCTGCCTCCAGCTTTAGAGTAGCTGGGATTATAGGCCCATGCCTACCATCTCCAGCTGCACACATTCTTTAAAAGATAAATACTCCTGGGCCAGGGATTTAGCTCAGTGGTTCTGCCACCTGCCTTGCAAGCACAAGAACCCGAGTTCGATCCCCAGTACCAAAAATAAAAAAATAAAATTAACATTAAAAAAATAAAAGTTAAAAAAAAAGAAAAAAATGGAAAACGGAGTTGCAAAATATTCAGGCCAGAATTCGGAGTTTGGAGAGTTATGACAATACTTAAAAGAATAGGACATGGGATGTAGCTCAGTGGTGCTGCCACCTGCCCTGCAAGCACAAGGTCCTGAGTTCAATCCCTGGTGCCAAACAACAACAAAAAGGAGATGACATGACTGTTTAGAATAAATGCAGATTTCTGGACATAAATAAGAGTAGATCGTTATATGTAAAAAAAATAAGACACCCACTGAAGATAAGCCCTACTACATACTTTAGAGTAAAATTTAATGTTAAACCTGATCTTCTTTTCAGGGAACTGTAGTAACACTTCAAAAGGAAAGCCAAAGTGAGCCTCTTCCAGCCAGGCCCAGCAGCACACCGCAATAATCCCAGCACTCAGGAGATTGAGGCAGGAGGATTCTCAAGAGTATGAGGCCAACCTGGGCTCAATGAGTTCAAGGCCAGCCTGAGCTACACAATGAAATCATGTCAACTTCTTCCCTAAAAAAGAGGTTGAGGCAGGATGACTGCCCCAAGTTCAAGATCAGCGTAAACTACAAAGCAAGACCCTGTTTCAAAAAACCAAAACATCAGCAAGCAAACCACAAAGCATGACTCAGCCTGCCTACAGAATTCTCCTGGCATCCCTGTGCCCCACATGTCCAGCCCCATGAGCAGCAGGCCCTGCAACACGACGTGCACCACGACCCAGGGCTTAGACAGGGCCCAAGCAGGTGCAGCTACCTTCAGAAGCACTGGGTAGCCAAGCAGAGCTGCTAGAGTGAAACTGTTTGCTGCTCTTCCTGTGCCGGAGGTTGAGAGAGGCTACCCTCCTGGTAAGGAGCCTGTACTCCAGCCCTCTCTGGCCTACTCTCTCCAGGCCTATGGAATTCACCAGGAGGCATCCACTGTTCAGTTTTGTTTCCAGACCCCTCACTTTCCACCTTGCCCTCTGGCCACCAAGGCTGATGCTGGTGCCTACCCTATCCCACTGGCTGGCCTGAGCTGCTCAGGGTCACCTCATCCTCTACTGTCTTCCTCCTGTTCTCCTCACCACCTGGCTGCTACACCCACCCTGGGCCTACAAGGCTGCTGGGCCAACTTGCACACCCAAGTGTAGAGGCCAAACTCCAGGACCACACTGGCACCCCAGTAAGAGCAGATCTGGCACATGCTGTGCTGCAACACACCAGGGCATGGGTCACCGCTCTATAGCCTCCAGCAAAAGACTCCACGTATCACGCTCATAGAAGCGGAGGCCCGTGACGACAAGCACCCACAGGAGCTAGAGGGCCAGAGACAAGCAAGGAGGAACTGTGTCCAAGAGTGCTGTGTCCCCTGGGTCAGGCAGGCCTGGGGACAAGAGCCAGGCAGAGCAGGAGACACCTGCTCATTTACTCTTCCTGCGCAGTTCTCCAGCCCACTTATGCCCTGGTGATCACTGCCCACTCTCCCTGAGCCCCATGGAGCCTGCAGGCCGGTGGGTGCAGGTGGCTGCCCCTGGCAACAGGCAGAGGTGTGATCAGAGAGCATGAGCTACCTGGGCACAACAGGCTTAGCACCAAGGATACCATGGCTTCCCCACACCTGGCACTGCATCTCCATCACACACAAGAGCCGGCAGCCCCACACTTCAGCTTCCAAAAGGGCTGGTCACAGCCCAGGCTGGACAGTCAGAAAAGGCTGCAACAAGTCACACAGAGGACTCTGCCCCAGCAAGGCTATCCAAGTGAGCCAGACTTGGTGGTGTGGGAATAAAGGCAGGAGTGAGTCACTGAGGGACGCAGTGAAGATCACGGCCCAATACACACACCTTTGGCCAAACTCTGGCCTGGGGAGTGGTTCCAGCCAGGCCTGGGAAGGACATGGTCACCCTGGGACCCCAGAGAAGCAGAAATGTCAAGATTAGTCCTGGCTGGCTCCCATCTGACTTGGGCAGAAGGAGGCCCCTCATCCTAACCCCAACCCCATGATGCTTGCTGCCCAGCCAGGGGCCTCTCACTGGCGAGGCTCAAATGGGAAGTCACCTCACGATAGCCCAGGGCAGCATTCCCTTCTCTAGAGACCACCCAGCTGAGTTACCTACCCTGTTCTCCTTGGGATCCTCCATCTTGCCAGGACCCTGGATGGCTCCCCTACTAGAGCCTTGGGAAGCCCCATTCTCTCTACTCAGTGATGTCACAGTCCCTGGCTGACATCACAGCACAGCCCAGAGCTGGTGCTAGTGTGAGGGCCACAGGTTGGCAGGATCCCCCCTGGGGCTGGGCAAGCACAGGGCTGTACACTGTACCTTGCACCCTGTTCCTTGCCACCCTAGAAGTGCCAGGCCCAGGTGAGAACTCAGCTGGGGCCGCTCCTCTCTGGCCCCATCATCTCTGTGGTTGGGTACTGAATGATGAGGCTTAGGCCTCATCAGTGTCTGAGGTATCCCAGTGCCACAAGCTTGAGCCCAGAGCTGCAGCTTCTGTACCTGAGGACCTCAGTGGGGGGCATGGCCAACCCTGGGGCTGCAGTAACAAGGGAGCATTTGGGGCTCCTGGCAGACAGGAAGGAAGGAAGTGGCCAGTCCAACCACAGGAGCCGGCTCCACCCTCACAATCAGAGTGAGGCCTGGGCTACAGGGCTCCCTGTACGGCACTTGCTATATCTGCGGCACCTGAGGATTCCTACAAGCAACTTAAAGGAATAAAAGGAGATGGAGCCTGGGGTGGAAAAGTGGCAAGGGGAAAAGACAGTGACATTCACCATGAGTGACACAGGAGGGACAGGAAGAGCACTGGGGCTGTCCCCTGCTCCCAAAAGTCACTATCAGAACACACTCCTGCTGGGGCAGGAGGTATAACCAGGGGTCCCCAGCTTCTGACACTGACCTCTCTTTTCTCTTTCCACTCAATGTGGATGTCACTGCGGGCAGAGTCCTAGGACCTCAGCAGGCATGTGACCATGAGACACAGGCTCTTAGGGTCAATAGAATCCCTCAATCTAAGGACTCTCCCCTGGGTGATGGATGTCTCATGACACATGTGACTGTCATGACCAGGGGAGCTCCTGGCAAGAACCAGGTGGAGGCCAGGGATAATGCCCCGTACTCGACAGTGCCCAGGACGCCCCAAGAGAACGAACCAGCCTCAGTCTGCAGAGTGGAGAAGACCCTGGACTAAGGAGACATGGTCCCAGACTCATGCAAGTGGCCCAAGATGTCCCACAGAGATGTGCAGGAAAACAGGAAGGCATGTCACTATAAGCAGAAACACACAGACGGTACAGACAAGCTACACAAGTAACAAAGGGAGACAAGGGAACCAACTGGTAACTGTGGTGCAGGTGGTAGTGAATTTTCAGCGTTTCCAGTAGGAATAATTCTAAGACTTCCTGCCTCAGCTTCCTAATGTCTGGACGTCCATAATAACTTGCAAAAACTAAAATTTGAGAAGCCAGCTCCAGCCCTGCAAACATACAAAGTGAGTCCATCAGGGTACTTTTCATTTGTTTTTGGTTTTTGAGACAGGGTCTCACTGCGTAGTTCAGACTGGCTTTGAACTCACTATGCTCACTATGCAGCCTATGCTGGCCTCAAACTCGCAGCGATCCTCCTGCCTCAGCTTCCAGAGTGCTGGGACCACTGGCATGTGCCCTCACACCCATCGCAAATCTTCATTTTCTTTCCTCTATTTTTTATATTCCCCCAAACACCACAAAAATCTTGGGCTCCTCTCACAGCAGTTTGTACTGTCAGCCAGGACTAAAAGCAGCTTTCGTGGAAGATGGGGATGGCCAGGACACACCTCCCAGACCAGCCAGTCACAGGTGGGGCTCCTGCACCTCGATGGGAGTCAGTCACCCAGGTGCCACCAGACAAGCCCCAGCAGGCCCGGGAGACGCCTCGACATCCTGGAGAGGGGCGTCCCGGAGAGAGGAGCGGGGTAGTCAAATAATCCTTCCAGAAGTGTAACTGTGGTGAACATTCATGAAGAGCTTTGGTGCACTGATTTTACATTAACTTTCCTCTTTTCGTTCCTGGGGACTGAACCTAGGACCTCTTGTTTTACTACAGACTATACCTTCAGGCCCACACTACTTTTAATAACGGAACCAGTAAAGACATAAAAATTCAAGGTATACAGATTATTTTTTACAAAAGCCAAAATGAATGTGAAACTTTAAAATTTTAAGGGAGTACCACACCAGCAGGAACCCCAAAGCCCCAGAGCACAGAGGGGGCTGTGCCCAGGGCCAGGCCTGACCTCAGCAGGGCTCACACAAGCCAGATCCAAATGCCTGGCCTCTCTGGGCAAAGTGGTAGGGTGACATGTAGACAACAATGAATAAAACTGCCATAAACAGTGAGCAGCACGGAGGACAAGGCAGGACCCCATAGGCCAGAGGTGTTCCAGGCCTTGAGGAGCTACACGGGGGGTGGGGGTGGGTGTTAGGGACAACGTTCATTGGGGGGGCACCGGGGATCGACCTCGGGTCCCTGCGCTTGTTTGCAAGGCAGGCGGCAGAACCACTAAGCTAAATACCCAGCCCCAACAGCTTTGACAATGGGGATGACCCATAAATATCTCAGAGGAATGCAGGGGTGGGCACCCACAGGAAGTACAAGACACCAAGTGTGGCAAGGCAGAGCCGAGGGGGCAGGACTGTGGGAACCTGGGGCCAGCCACCTGCCTGCCCTACTGAAACAGCCTAGGGTATGACCCTGGGGGCAGGGAGGCACTCCAACAGTCTGGGGAGTCACAGGCCCCAGGGTTCAGCACCCCCATACTCTCATATACACACCAGACCCACCCCTTAGAGGTTAGAGACTCCGGGGAGACAGCAGAGCACTCGTTCACTCTCACCCCTGCACGGACATGAGGCCCCTTGCACTCTCAAATCTGCTCCCGGAAGCAATCAAATGGCGCAGGGGGACTAGAACCACCTGGCTCTAGGATTCCCCAGCCCTCCCAGACTTTCCCTGGGAATAATTCCAAGACTTCTCCGCCTCAGCTTCCTAATGCCTGGATTCCCACAATAACTTTTAAAAACTAAAACTTGAGGAGCCAGCTCCCACCTTGAACACATACAGAGTGAGTGTTTCAGGGCACACAGCTCTGATACCCACTAAGGGGTGATGGCGAGGTCTCCATGGCCCAGAGGACTCAAAACACACAACTGTAAAACTTCGAAAGGACGCTTGTATCCCCAGTCACTTGTGTCCCTAAACTTGGACAAGGGCATTCTCCTACCGTGCACCTCCAACTCAAGCCATACACAGAAGCCCATTCGCTGGCCACCCTTACCCCAGGACCCCAAGATCAGCATGGCAACTGGGGACCTGGAGACTGGGGCAGGGCAAGTGTCAGACAGAAGGATAGCCATCACTGCAGGTCACACTAGAATCTAGAGTTACCCCAGAAACAAGGTCCCTGAGGAACGCAGGCCCTCCAGACTGTGTCCTCACCTGATCTCAAAGTTGGGGGTTCTGCCCATGGGTCCAGGCCAGGCATGGCAGGGCTGTGTTCTGGGGAGCAGGCATTTCTGTGACTGAGGGGTCCTTTAACACAGTTCAGGTTGAATCACTGGAGATACATGCATAACTGTCCCATCGGGTGGCTGGTACTAGTGGTGATACAAATGGATCTCATCACCATTACCAATCTTTTTAGTAATAAAGTTTTTTTGTTGTTGTTTTGTTTTTTGAGACAGGGTCTCACTATGTAGTTGAGACTGACCTGGAACTCACTATGTAGTCCAGGCTGGCCTCGAACTCATAGCAATCCTCCTGCTTCAGCCTCCCAAGTGCTGGGTTTACAGGAGTGAGCCACCACGCCCAGCCTTTAGTAATAAAATTAATGAAAAATCTACAAATGGATTGAATCTAGCTAGGTGCTTGAGTTTGAATAATTACATCCAAATATAAATACTAATATTACAATACCAATTAAAAATTATTACAATAATCAACAGGTTTATCCATTTCATTAAATTAAAAGAATTAGGCCAGGGATTTAGCTCAGTGGTGCTGCCACCTGTCTCGCAAGCACAAGGTCCAGAGTTCAATCCCCGAACCAAAAAAAAAAAATTATATTCATGAACAATTTATCAACAATTCTCTAAATTTTAACATGGAACTCTTACAAGCACATGCTTCATATAATATGCTTTTACAACTGTGTACCACAAGTCAGCTATATTACTATTTTGGGTATCGTTTTAATGTTTTCTCTAAGGAGCTGTAACATGATGACATCTGGTCTGCTAAATCAACGCCTTTCTTTACGTTATTGTAATCAAAGACCCCTGAGGAGTACAGCCTGCCCAACAGGACAGTCATGCAGGCAGCATCAGTGGTTCAAGCCAGTGGACTGATCAAATTCAAATCAGGGACCGCCTCGGATCCCATCCTTAGATCCCTCCATCTTCAGATGGTGCTGGGCCACTCCAGACCCTTAAGGTCGTCACATTTGTCCTTCCTCCAAGGGCCCTGGAGAAGTAGAAGCCAAGCCCTTCACAAGTGGAAGCGGGGACTCCTCTGCCTCTTACAGAAGCTCTGGCAAGTCTCAGTTCCAGGGGAGAGTTACGTGGTCGTCATGCCCTCAGCACAGCTCAACCAGTGACCTCTCATCAACCTCCCTCTACCTGGGAGGCTCTGGGCTGCTTTCGCCACCGCATCCAGAGGGAGCTGTCCCTGGGATCACTGGCCAGCCAGGAACCTCTGCGCCTCCCCCACACCACAGTCCATCCCCTGACCCTCACTAGGCACTCACGTCTCTCCTCCTCTGAGGGCAGGCGGCACCACAGGGCTGGACTATGGCACAGAAGGGAAAGAGCTTGGAAAAATCTGACTGTTATTTAACAGGATGCAACCTCAAACTGTCTCTGGCTTCTGGTGTTCGGCCATCCCAAGAGATGCGGGCATGGGGAGGAAGGGGCAGACCCTGAGGACTCAAGGACAGGATGGTCCAGGGAAGGGGAACCCAGGCAGAGCTGTACCTTGTCCAGAGTCCATGCTGCGGCTGATTCCCACATGCAAAGGAGCTCTTGGGTGTCCAAGCAAGAGAGATGGGCCACTCTCTACACCTGCCCAAGAGCCCCTTGGTAGGAAGCCCTTAGCCAGATGTGATGGGGGTGGGGCCCTGCGTGAGGGACCTGGGAGGAGGGGGTGTGTGGAAGGGCGGCTGCAGAGAGAAGAGAGGTTCCCTTCTGGGCCTGAGCAGTGAGCACCCTCAGCTAGCCCCACCTGCAGCAGGTCCTGGGTCCCTACAGACACCCAGAACTCACGCAGGACCCGTGAGTGGACCTTGGCGAGAGGAAAAGGTGTTAGATGGAGCCTAGATTTCTCAGAACCCTAGCCGGGTTCTGTCAGGGCCAGCCATGGATGTGGAGCAGTATGGGCCTGTCTGACTGGTGAGCTCCCAGGCTCAGGTCTGATTGCTACTCCACCTGCTAATGGCGTCCTGTGCCCTCCCTCTGCCCAAGATGCAGGAGCTGGGACATGAGCAGAAGAGGGAAGGTGGACAGCAGAAGCCACTCTGAACTGCTCAGAGAGGAACTCAGCAGCTTTGGGCACCAGGTAGGCCCACGCACATGAGCAGCTGGTTCCTGCCACCTGGGGCCCCAGAAGTCACCCAAATGCTCCAGGTGTACTTTTCCAGGAGTTGGAGAGAACCTGGCTGGGTCCACAAAATGCCCCACCCTGAAGTCAGTCCCAGCCTCACTGCACACAATAACTGTGCCCCAGCCAGAGCATGAGAATGGGGTGCACCCAGCCCCAGAAAGTCCATCAACATGAATCCTGTGTGTGAATGCCTTTGAGGCGGGGCTAACATAGCTGCAGGATGAGCAGAGGGGGCGAGTCAGAGCAGGCAGACACCAAGAAGATGCAAACACATCTTTGTGGCCCCACACAGCCATCAGATCATCAGCCAGCTTCCTTAGGACTTAACCCTCCTTGCTCTATCCACCAGCACGACAGGTCACCAACAGCCCAGGGTACCCAGGTCCCCCTCTATACCACAGGTTGGCAAACCCCCCTTTTAAGTGGGGAGCTGCAGCCACCTCATCAAAGTCACACAGCACAGGTCCCATTAAAGCTCTGGGATAAGCTACATGCTTAGGAGACTCTCCTAGACCAACATGTCCTCACTCAGACATCCTCATCCTTGACTGCTCACTGAACACAGAGGTACTGTCTGCCTGGTTTGCCATTTCAAGCCTCAGGCCTAGAACTTAGCTGATACCAAAAGATACCCACCAGTGTCTGCCCAGAGAACATTCACAGACCAGCTAGACAGGCTCTGTCCCATACCCGATGCCCAGCTCCCAAGAACAGGCCTCAATCAAACATGCGTATGGCCACCAAGCCTAGCTCGGTATTGGGCATGAAGCTAAACCTTGGATGAAGCCACAGCTGCTGTCCCCTCTACTCCCACCACCTCGGTACAGTCCAGGATTCCCAGCCCCAGGGGTGCCTCCACGAGAATTGCCTATAGATTATGGGAAAACAATACCCTGCCCAAGCCGACCCCTCTGCTGCCACCTGAATGTCACAGGACCCCTGGCTCCAACAGGCCCCCAAGCCAGACCTCTCCCACCTCCTCCTGACTGCTTCCCACAGCACCACCTCAGCCAGGGCTTCAATGGACCAAGGGGCAGGATGCTGGTTGGGGCAGCTCTGTGGGGACCCAAAAGGAACAGCAAAGTCACACACAGGTGTCCCCTTGGAAATTCCCAGGAAAATGCCTACTGTCTCGAGTGGCTGCATGCACATGTGTTCGGGGAGAGTGCAGGCCAAGTCCAGGGCAGGCACCAACGCACCAGCAAGTTCCCACAGACCCAAAGGGCGCCACGTCTGTCTGGCATGCCACACAGCTGTCCCGGCTCCCAAATTAATGGCTGGTGAGCTGGCTTCTCCAAAGCCTGGCATGAGCAGATAGGCTTTCAATTAAAAAGGCCTCACCTACTTCCTTTGGCAACACAGAAGTAATTACTGTATAATTAAAAAGGATAAGAAGAAAAGTCAGAAGACACTTGAATCGGTAATTCTAAGAGATCTGTCTGCACAAAGTTCCATACAGCTATTGACAACACTCAGCCGGCCTTCTGACCAGTCCGGAGCCCACA